GACACGCAAAAATAGCTGGCCACATGAAAAACTTTCTGAAACGTCGGCTTTTTCAGGATGCCCCTTGAAACCCTTTTCTCCTTGAGAGGGTAAAAATTAGCGGCTTGAATTTTTGGGTTTTTATACTAACTTCAAATACCCACATGGGGCATGATAGATTGGGGGACATGGTGGGGGCAGTGAATTGAATAAACCCTTTAATTCATCTCAAGTTTGCAAATTGCAATCCCCCGGGCACGGGGTTTGTTTCTGATTAATGAGACCAAGCTCTTTTGATTGAGATGACATGCTGGGTCACGGACCGGTCCCGGTTTATCAGTGACTTAGCAAACCCCGTACTTAGCAACCCCTTAAAAGTGGCCCCGATGATCCAGGGAATGTGCTTAAACCCAAAGTCTGGAAGTTAAACTAATTTAGAAATTTTTCCTTTGACAGGGGCCGCTGCTTTTTGGGGCGGGGTTTCCACCCGGGACCGCTACGATCTTATATCCTACGTGGGCGAGATGGGTTAGGAATTTAGGCGGTTTTTAAAACTTTTTTAAAAGATTTTCAGACAAATAAACGTGAAGGATCGCGTTATTCATTTAAAAAATTTTAAAAGGGGACTGTCGGAGACAATTTTGCATTTTACCCGGAAAACCAGGTTCCACACTGTTAACTTTTTTAAACCTTTGTCAAGACATTCAACTCCTCCCCCTCTCAAATATTTGCTATTACCGCATTCATTGTTATGTGGTCAGTTTTTTTGAGACCCTAGCGATTCATTTCATTCAAAATCGGGCATTCCAGTCCAACAACCGACAACAATCATTGACTTTCCGTTTGGCTTGTTCGTGCTTGCGAAAGAGGGGATTTCAGGTATCCTTATTTCAGGAAACCCAAAAACCCCAACACCCCGTCGACGGGACGGAAATTAAATTAACCCAAATACCTTTTAAAATTTTAATTCATCCCGGCAGAGTGGGGAGAGAAGAAGTTTAAAAAGGCACGGGTCGAGGTCTGAATCGGGTATCCAGCGTGCGGGGGAGGGTTTCTAAAAAGCGCGGGAATTTAACCCCAAAAGGGAGTATCCTAACTTTTCGGAAACATTGTAAAAAAAAGGGAAAGGTCTTGCTCCATTTGCTGAATTGGTTCAAAACATCTTTGATAATTTTCGCGTTTCGTAAAAAAATTCCTTTGTTATCCTAGAACAATAACCAATTTACGGGAACATACGTTTTTGGGGGTATTCCTGTTTTGGTCGGATTAAAAAGCTAATTGAATATAGAGCGGGGTGCGCGTCGGGTTTTTCCAAGCGAAAGCACAAGTATCCGAACTTGCGTGGGCAACACCAAAAATTTAATTTAATATTGAATAATATGTGATATTGTAAAAGTTAGAGAAGGAGCTAAGAGGGGGAATACCCCCATTTGTAGAAACTAAAATTGGGGGGGAGTCCCTTTTGTTAAGGGTTTAAGCATAGTTTGTTTTCTAACTAAATGTTTTTTGAGTTGAGGAGCTACGGGCCAGGGGGTCTATCAACAGGGTAACACGTGAGCACGGATTTTTCTGCTAACCGTACACCGACCTTTTCTATTTCCTTCTTTGGGTTAAAAGTGCGATACTGGCAATGATTGTTTGACCCAGGAAATGTTATCTCTGCCACCTGTGCCCCCAAAACCCAATGTCTGTCCCCCCCCCCCTAGCCCCCCAGCGTTCTTAATTTTACTGATCCAATCTAACAAACCCCATGTATAAATTTTAGATTTTTTTGTGCAGGGGGGATTCCTCAAACCCTATTAACTACACAATAGTCAATACGTTTTAAGAAACAGAAAATTCACTCTTTGGGTGTACAATACCTATTTTTAACGGAGGGCGGGGCTTATGTTCACCACAAAATCCCAAAATTTATTAATCCCATCCCACAGAAACATGTGAATAGCCACAACTTGTCACCCCATTTACTGTTTAAACCCCCAAAATTGACAATGTGGTGCTACTTTTAGCTGCAGCAATTCTTATAACACTGTTTTCTTCCTAATAGGTCAAAGTGGGGGGTTAGTGTTACATAATTTTAGAACATCTACAAATCATTTTAAAAACTAAACATATGAACTTGGAGCTGTATTTTTGGAGTATGGTCAACATACACCCGGATATCTAAATTTAAGTATACCAAATAGGCCCTGCCATTCTCTCTAAATACGACAGGGAAACATGAAAAATGTCTTGTTATTCGTTACGGCACACATATTTTCACCTGCGGATGGTTCTAGGAACAGTCTGTAAAACTAAGAGGTTGTAGGGGAGGGTTAAAAAACTTGAGACTTTGAAATGCGCCGTCCCCCTAATGTGTTTAATGTTAACTTTTTTAAAACACAACTTTTAACTGGGCTACAGACGTGGAAGGTTTGCAAGACTGGGGGGGGGGGGGGGGGGGGGGCTGTTTTCTGGATGATATTGGTGATTATAGCTCAAAATTATGTAACAGCTAATATCTGCTTTTTTATAATTAGCAGGCTGGGATAATTTTCCCTTTTTTGGGTCCTGCCGAACTTGGGGAAAGAAGTCATTTGGGAGTGTTTGATGGATTAACATTATGTACTGTGGGGGGGGCAGGCACCATTCCCAAATTTTATTTTTATTTGTTTTTTACAAATCTAGTAGCACTTTTCAGAACTATCGACATCAATTTTTCGGAATAAATTTGTTTTTTTGCGGGAAAATTTTATCTTGCCATCACACTACTTTTCAATCGAATTCGCTTCTTTCAAAAATCCCCAAAGGGTTTTTTGGGGTGGTTTTAATTGAATCACTTAAACGTTTTTGCCATTTATAATATATTTTTGCCCCTACTGCAATTCGTCCCAAAACACATGTGCTCAATTCTCATTCCCAAAATTGTGGTTTTACCCCCGCCAAATATTTCCCCCTCTTAGTTTCAAAGTTTTGGAGTCTGGCCCGGGGGGGGTTTGGACACATTCGGGGGTCAAACCACTATTTCATGCAGACTGTCTGAGCAAAAAGTGGACCTGGTCCTGGGACACCAAAAATTTCAGAAGTCTCGGCTCTGTTTTTCTGCTCTGTACCTTTTCTGTCCTTCACCCGATCAAATTGCATGCCTCCGTCGCCAGCCCCCTCCCTTTGGGCCTTTCTCACCCCAATTTAAATAAGTTTTGTGTATTGTGTAAAAGAATTTTGGGTCACTTTGCTGAGTTGTAAAAATGTGTAATAAACCCAATAAAAAGGGGAAAAAAAAATAAAATGTGTAATAAAAAAATGTGTAATAACAATACTGGGTTTCCCTATTAAACCATTACATCATATTTAGACCCAATTACACTTTGATAGAATACTAAATTCCTTTCATCCACACACTTCCAGTACTTAAATATATTAACATATACTTACATAACTTTCATAATTATATACACTTATACTAACATTAGGTAGCACAAATTTTTTCACCATAAAATTTTTTTTTGTAATTATTGGGGGAATGTAGCGTGATTTTCATTCTGAAAATTTTTGATTTTGTGTTATGCATGACATTCTTATATTGCGCATATTTTGGGTAAAAATGTTGAAATTTTACCTACTTTTTGCTCTCCAGCATATTTAAGCAGCTTGAAAATTTTGTTTTCCCAATTCAAATGCTTGAAGCTTGAAGGGTAGAATGACAGAAATCAGAGAGTCGTACCCCCGCCACTCAAAATGTTTTTTAAGGTAATTTTGCGGCAACCCCAAGCTTCTCCTTTTAACTTGATACAAACACTAAAATCCCTCAAGTTTTGATTTCTGCACGGGAAAGAAATTTCGGGATGCAGGCATTCTTCTTCATAATAACACATTTGGGGAGCGATTATTTTGAGTGTTTTGATTAGAGAATCTAGTGCCTCCGTCACAGTTTCATAAGCCTTTGTTCCAAGGGGAAAATAAAAGGGGTTTCGCAAGAAATATCCCCCCTTTTTCTAAAAATTTTGGGAAACCCCGGTGTCTCCAAAAATTGGGGGAATGTTGTTGGTAGGAGGGAAAAAAATAAATTAGGTAGGGGGGAGCCCGAAGGCCGTATATTGAGGTGGCATTTCTGCGGTTAAAACTTTAAAGTGAGGGGGGCCTGAAGAGGGAACCTTTGGGGCCCGTACACAGACAATTAATCTGGTTCGCTGTACACCCTAAAACCCAAACTCGATTAACCGCTTTTTCTCTCACGGGAGGGGGGACTCGCCGTCCTCCCCCAAGACCCGAATATCCCGCCACTTTTTTTAGGGGGCACTAATTTACTTTTTAATTTTTCTCAAGGTATTTGACCTAAGGGTAATTGTCTGGACAGGGGGGTGGCTACACAAACTTTTATTTTCCCCTTTTATCGACACCCCGCCTTCAGTGACCGGGGGCCCCCGGTAACATCCCCTTTCACCTCAACAGGGCACCCTTTACACGATGGGGGTCATTTCGTGACGCTTCTCCCCCCCGATGCGGGCGGGAAAAATGACCCGGAATTTAGCCGAAGCCGACTTCTCGTAACTTCACCTATTTTAAAACCCCTAAGTCTAAAGTAACCCTGCAAAAAGGCAACCTTTCATTTTTGAGAATTTGCTGTGCTACCCGGGAAAGCGCGTTCCAAATTATGCAAAATGTGGCATTTTAAATTCTGGGGCGCGCGCGCGTGAACCAAATAAACTTTAATTGAGTGAATTTCTAGGGCCGGGGTGAAAATTTTCCAAGGTTTTTGACGAAAGGCTAGGCCCTTTTTTCGATTACGCACCAAAACATCAAAATTTGGCGTTGTGCACAAAGAAGTGCGGCATTTGGTTAATCCAGGACGTTGGTGTTCAGAGACATTAGCCTAGATCCATACTCCATTACTCTCTTCTAACAAGTGCGAACCCCTTCTCTTTTTAAACCGAGACAAAAGTTTGGCTTTCTTTGCCAGCCGAGATATTATTTACTCCCTTTGACACGACGCCAGCAGATTGCAGAGCCTCTGTGACAACCTGAAAGCGATTATTACGGCTATGGTTATTGCTTCTCGAGGTAACTGCTTATCAGCGACTGATTTGGCAGTCTGTTCTACTAAAATCCCGCCTCCAGCCTTCACAATCAGACTAAACAATCATACTTCCAACAAAGGAGGGGTCGCTGTACTGGTCTGATAGACATACGATATCTGGGATAAAGGATGATCTTAGATAAATGTAGTAACGAATTTGTTAGTCTTACATAATACGTATAATGACACTGATATGGAGCCTTATATTGGAGAGATGATATCCTTGTTTACAGTTTAGAGTTACCGACGCGGAACTGTTCCTTGAAGTCCCGATACGATCCCGCAAAGAGTACCGACAGAGAACAGTTCATTATTCATTCACCCAACAAACCTATTATCAATATTATGTCACTATTAAAAGAGTTACCATCTCACAGGTTTCCCGACATTTACAAGTCCTTTACCGACACACTTTTACCGGGTTTACCGACAATCAAATGTTTCAGATCTGAGTGAGACTGGGTTTATCTACGCCTTGATGTCTGCTAGCGCGATGGTGGGCGTAGTGGACGCCTGTTCTGATGGGTGATATCTACATGTGTGGGGTGTAGGGGAGATGAATGATGTGCCGGATCCGCAGCCAGACTGGACTTGGGGCGGCTGTTCTGATGCAGTCGACAATGGTGGGTTTTAAACTCTGTAATACCTGCTCTAATCGACTGTGCCATAATCTGATTTACTGTCGGTTGTTGTGGGAGAATTTCAGATGTAAAGTTTAAACATCAATCTAACCATTAATCTATTTGTATTGTGATGATTGATATGCCCAATATTGTTTAGGCGTGGCTGCAGTTAATACCACATTAATTAAAGATCTCCCACCACATTTCAGTTGTTATAGACAAAACAAAGAGGTTTGTAGACAGCCCGCACCAAGCCAACTCCATGCCAGACAGAATAAAGCGGCACAACAACCGGGCAGGCACCCTGGTAAGCGGCAATCCTACTTGTTGCTTGTTTACTCGTTTCCATGGGTCTAATGACGATATCACAGATTACCACTTATATTGGAAGTCGGTTAACCGTGACGTTGGAAATAACTTTTAACTGCTTCACCGTTCGGGGAGCCGTTAAGGGTTTTATCTATTGATTTTGAATTGGTGTTTTGAAAAAGGGTAATAAGATTACCCGTGTTTCAGGCTGTGCGAGATAACATGGAGGACGATATGTAAGTGTCAGGGACTCTCCGGTTCGTGTACCGTAAAAACCTGTTACCAGAGGATACCGACCATGACAACCATAGGTGCTAACTTGGTAACCAAGTACAAGTACGCCACTAGAGTGCTGGACACTAGACGTGATGACACGTGGGTACTGTACGATCTACACGGAATACAGCCGCGCCAGAGTGAGCTTATTTACATGGAGTCCACCAACCCGGATCAGTTTTGTTTACCGAATGAAGCAGTCGGCAGTTATCGGCACTCAGGGGACGCATTTGCAGCGTCACATCCCTGGAGTCAGACGCGTGCAACAATTTGTGTTGCGACCGCTCTTACCTAGACTCCCAGAAAGACGTGAACTATGACTGTAAATGCAAATTCGTATACGACAGTCTAGCAATGAGGTGTGAGCGGTGTCGGAAGACTGTTGTAGAAACAAGATGTACGTAAAATTAGTCTCAGCTCGTTCCAGCGAGCTTATCACTTCTGTTTCTTATTGTTGGAGTTACTTGTTACTAGTTATTTGCGCCTCTGTGTGCCCTAGCGGCCTCTAAGCATTGCTCTCATGAAGTTCAATCCGCAGTGCATTCTCAGCCTCAAGTTCCAGAACTTTTGAACCTGTTTATGTGGTTCGATTGAAAAACGAACAAAGAATTAAAGACTCAGAATTATATTAACCGATGTTTTTATATATTTTACTAAATTGTGTGCTATAACTGATGGACAAAGAGGGGATTGGGTTAAACCTCAGTTCAGCTAGTCGTGCTGTGAGACAACATTTTTATCTCACCCGCCCTACTTGCTCTGGCTCTTGCTGTTTTCTGCAAAGCTAATCCTGGGCCCAAGAGGGACCCGATCAAGTTGACTAATGTGGCAAAGTGCCAATGCCCCATAAATTGAGCAGACACTTTTTATGTTTTCAGTTGTTAAACCGGGAAAGCTTGTCACATTTGTTTCTTCAATGCATTGAATCCTCAAGTGTGCTCTGTGTTAGCATGCATTTTGCAGCACTTCTAGATTTTATGGGATTTTTAACGGACGTTACAGAATATAGAAGGTGTGATGGCCGAGGATCCAACAGTTTTAGAAAAGTGTCTCAGTAAAACCCGAAATAACCCCCTGATGTTAATATATCTGTTTCTGTTTCCAAAGGGGCACGGTCTCAAGGTTTTACTAGATATTATTGAGAGTCACAGAGTCCTTAGTCACTCACGGGGCAGCCTAGCATAGTGGTGCAGGATACACACCAGTATTTTTATTTCCCTTCTTTGGTCGGTTATTGAATGGCGAAACCGAACCGCCGACCATATGACCGAGACGGGGTGTTTTATTGGGCTATCGTTATTGAGGGAGGAATACAACCCGTGTGGGTCGTGGGACTGGTGGCTGGAAAGGAGCTGGCTTTTTAATAGGCTGGGAAGCGTCCGTTAAAACGTCTGACAGATTGCCCCGTGAGAATTTTAGGGTTAGAGTTAGCTTGTGAAATGATTTCCCTCATCGACTGATATGGATGCGATCTTTGGCGCCAACACCAGAGATGTGAATGACTAAATGACATATATGTACCAATTGAGTACACATTTTTCTCTTCAAAATTGTCGATCGGTTATCATTTCCCGCTCAGAACTGTTTATGTAATTGTTATTAGAATTTTGATGAGAATTTGTATCATTATTATAGCTGGCAGCAAAACGCCTGAAATCTGACATAAATGGATATTGATGGAGCGGAATAATCATAATTAGATATTGTCTGGAATTAGATATTGTCTGGATTAGATATTGTCTGGATTAGATATTGTCTGGAATTTTGACGCTTTACAGAATGTAGATACAGTGAAACGATTTTGCTGATGTAAGATAGGTATTTTCTTGACTAGGAGTCTTACTCCTTATAAAAATACAACAGATTTTTATATGTTTCCCTCCAATATTGATATCTGAACGGTACCCTAAAGTTATGATTATTTGAATTACTAAGATTATGATCTCAGATTTTAATCCCGCGGATTCAAAGTTTCGCTATTCATCTAGGCAGTGCTTTAATTTTTATTATATTTGATGGTTAATATTATATTATTAATAATAATAATACGGCATTACTCCGTTGTGATGCTGTTTAGAAATTGAAATATTATCGAAATTTTAGTGGCTGAAACTGAGCACGAATTGCATTTTGATATGAACCAATCTTACGTTGTAATTACACCGATTTGTAACTTTGATATTTGAAATTAAACGTTTATGGATATTATACATTTATATTACATTTCAAATATTTGAACCAAACTTTACGCTGCTGAACACCATTGTTACTGTATACCAAGATATCAATTTCCACTCTGTAAAATTTTGTGTTACTTTTCGATTAAAATGTGTCTACTGCCTAGTGACATGAATTTCGATCAATCAATAGAAAATTTGATGAACGATGAAGTAGCGACGATGCATGAAGTCCTCAGGTATTATAAACATAATGAAAATCACCACAAATGCGAGATTAATACGCGTGGGATTCGCAAAATCTGGAAATTAATCCTTAATTTCATCTTTAGTGTTCATGTTTTACAAGTAAGCCATTACAGATAGGCATGGGTATGTACACTGTACACTGGATAGAGTGTAGACAGTAAAATTAAGATTTGCTTTGTCAACTATATAGCCGGCATTGCGTTGTCCGACTATTCACTTATATTTCATATTCGCAACATCAAACATGATAATCGGTCTAACTAGAACTCGGTCTACCAAAGTACAATGAACAATCATCGTTAAGAAGTTAGGGGGGAGGGTCCGGATCCCCCTTTGTTCAGGAGTTTGATATGATTATGATATTCATTATTCTAATTTTCTATTATACCGCTTGCTTCATGTTCAAGCGTCATATCAAGCATCAGTCGATTGATATCTAGCTACAACAAGGACCAGAGGGTCCAAAAGCCATGCATTAATGTGCAAACTGCAAACATTTCTGCTTAAATATTTATTTATTCTAGCTATTTTCCATGTCAAGAATTCTGTGACATAATCCTCGAAAAAATATTGAATATGTCTCCGCAAACTTAATTGAAAATTCGATTGATGCAACAATTGAATTTTCAATTAAGTTTGCAGACATAAAGGCTCAACGGTACCTGATAACCTGATCCCACGTATGATGGAACAAGCCTTAATATCTCGATCATCTCTCCAGGAAAAATGTTAATGTATAATAATGTAATATGATCTGAATAGCCAACCACAATGTAATAATAATATAATTTGACTCGATCCAAATATTTTACAGATGTTACTCGTATATTAAATTTCTTCGAAGTAGCGCGCGATGCTTTCTTCACTATAGCAATCAACTTTAATAAGGGTAAAATTATGAAGCAGCTGTATACAGCATAATATGTAAGTGGACTCCAAATAACATGTCATTTTAGTTGCGCGCGCGTCCCAGCACCAATATATTAGAGAATCAGGTTCGATAAAAATCTACTTTCGAATCGAGCGCTCAATGTCTCGAACAAGATAGAGCTTCATTTAGAAAATTATTGCGCTTCGCTATTTTGCTTATTATACGTGTATGTTTACTGTTTAAAGTTGTAGCCATAAGCTTGTAGCTATTTATTGCACTAAAGTTCTGTCTTCATTTTCTATTTTTTTCAAAGGACCAAGCTGACTTATTTGTTATTCATATCTATTTTGACGGCATAGCAATTAGCAAGTTATCGACGATGTGGAGAATGTACATTTCGATTTGGCAATCTTCTTAAAGCGACCATGTTTGGTCACATCATCTTTTCGGGCGATACTTACATTTTTCTTCAGTCCATTTGAATTTGAATTTGTAATCTGGTTAAAACGTACTCTTTGCAGTAATACTGAATAAAAACCATCACCCTAAAGAATCCCCGGATAAAATCAAAACATTTAATTATAACTTTCGATATTATCTGTTATTACTAGAGTAAAATCCAAAATTACTTCGACAAGTCATCACACAGGAGTATCAGACTATTTGTCAATTTGTCAATGATAAATCACTCAACATTATCTACAGTTTAACTGTGGTAAACGTTGAGTAACTGCAGTACAGTTATGACAGTTCACAATTACGGGCCAATAATTTGAATTTTATGCTGTATCTTGTGCTGTCCTACTGTAATTTCAGCTAACAGCAAATGACAGAAACGAAGGTGAAAGTCGGAGATGTAATAAAAAGTGACGAAAAATTCGACTATGTGGTCTCTCAACTTGGACCAAAGCTCTTGTACAAAATCCAATACGAAAACTTAAAAGAAAACTTTGCTGAACTAGTGCCAGCAGATAAGGTCAAGGATTTGGATGACAATTTCTTCAGACCGAAAGATGCAAACGCCAACTTCGCAAGCGAGGGTGACAAAGTTAAAGCTGAGCTATTTGGGGAGTGGAAAACTGCAACTGTTTTGTGCACTAAATTTGGAGAATGTGAAATTACTTGTTACAAGAAGGGAACGAAGAAATCTTATTTTTCTGAATGGATAACACTGGCTCCCAAAGAAGAGAATGAAAAAACCAAAGAAACTAATTTGTTTATCCCAACTGAAAGTGATAAAGTCGATACCCGAGTACTTTCTCCCGAACCAGGAATTAGAAAATATACAAATTCTGGGGGATTCGAGAAGCTGTCCGAGAAAGTTGATTCTATCATTACATCTGAAAAATGGGACGAGGTAATCTCTAATTTGAACAGCTTTTATATAAAACCACAATGGAGTGGACAGCCTCTCAACGATGATTATAACATTTTCCTTCTCACCTGCAACTTTGATAAGATCTTTGTTGATAGGCTAAAAATCCTTCTCGAATCTTCTGGGCTGACAGTAACAACCTCAGAAGAAGAACTCCACAAATCAAGGGTATTACTGCTCCTTTACACTGACAACGCCTCCTACGACGCCACGCTCATTCGTCTTCTAACCAGAGGTGCTGAACTTGCTAACAGTGGCGAACTTTGTATTAAAGTTTTAGTCCACCCAACATGTTCCGCTTTCAGACAAAACAGAATCCCTGACAACATGGCCTACTCCCTTGCGGACAGTAAGTGGTATAACTGGATCGGTGTGGATTCCCCGGAGGTCAGCTTCACTGAGATGGCTTCACAGATCAAAAGTTACACCGAGAGAAGTGAAGCTGATTTGGCGGAACTCAGTACTGTGTGTGGTATATGGCATTGCAAGGTTGTTGTTAGTGGGGACTTTTGCTCTAATTTCTACGATAACCGATGTATGACACTGTACTTGTACACTGATCATGACGGCAAGGTTCGGGGCCGTACTCCCTCAGGTATCGTACTTGAGGGTGACTTTAACACTGACAGCAGGATCCTTGATATCACTGGTGCATACTGTGGACCGTGGAATCAAGAAAACGAGGGGTGGAAGGAGGAATATTTCCAGATAATGCTGAGGATTAAGGGAGTGTTGGACTATAAAGGCAGCCGATTTGAAGGGCAGATCTGCGAGGTATCATGTGTTGGAGACAAAGTGTACGAGTGTGTGGGTACACTGTCAGCTGACCAAGAAAACGAGGGGGTTTCAGGGTTTTACGAGATAACAGACACCCTCTCCGAGTTAAAAGGGGAGAAGGGACACATGACTATCATCCAGCAGCGAGGCGGGGATCTGTTAGCAGATATCAAGGGGCACCACGGTGTAATGTATCCAGGGATATTTGATTCGGCTAGTCGGCGGTTCTGGTTATACGTTCAGAACACTCCCAACTCCTGTATAACCTACGAGGGAGTGTTTAACGCTGGAAACAGGTCCACTGAGGCTAGTGGCTCTTTCTTCAAGTGTAAAAACGGTGTGACAGTAATTCCCAAGACGAAGTTCTACGCTAAACGTGAGATGGTTGGGGAGACTGTTCAAGTGGACACAATGAACACTGAAATGTTTTTACAGCTTGTAGCTGACGCTCAACAACGGTCCTTGCGCACCTCCGTCATCAACTCTTTCACTTACGTTCCTCCAAAACCTGAAGATTTCCCCGTACTAATCGTAGGAGCTGATGAGGATAAGGAAGTCTTGAAAGAACTGAAATATAATCTTCTGAAAGCGGGAGTCGGCCCTATCTCCTGTGATGCAAATGATTTGGATTCTGCTCGAAGTGTTTGCTTCATCCTGTCAGCTCATGTCCGTGATAATACTGACCTCGTTGAAACCGCCAAAAAGATCTCAGTTAAAGACGTCCCATTCTTTATCATAGCAAATGATGCCCGACGAAATATATTCAACGACAAGTTCTGGAAAGATCTGAACCTGAAAGAAACTCTACTAAGTTGTCTTGCTAGACTGAAACAAACAGGCAAAATGACACTAGATCCAAACTCGTTACTCTTCAAAACACTTGTCAAGGAAGTTAAGAGTAATTACAAGCCTCCCGTCTACTTTCTATCGGGAATGTGGTCCGTTAGAACATTCAGTAAAGTTGACTTCAAGAGTGGATACAACGAGGCCGCTGCTGACGCCAGGAAAGGGAAAGTCAAACACCTCACTTTTCCCAAACTTCTCTATATTTTAACTGACGGTGTTTCTGGGAGGGTTGTTGGAATCAATGATTTTGTTTCTTCAAAGCAATTCAAAGGACATGTAAACAATGAAGAAAGCACCTTTACATTTGATAACGAAGATTCTAAATATGAGTTGGTTATTGAGAGAGATGGTCAAACCATGCAGGGAACTTACATCAACAGAGTTCAAAACATCCAAATGGAAATCACCTTGACACTCGAAATAGATGAAATCAGTGGCATATACACGGTAAAAGAGCAGAACCAAATGTTAGGTATTGTAAAAACAGGACAACACTCAGTGGACGTTTACTACAGGAACTACATCCTGCCCGGGGTGTTCTACGGGAGTAGGTTCTACTGTACCATACCCAGGTGTGTCAACAGGAAGCCAGTTCTCAGCACCATGGTCGGTGTTATCCAGAAATCAATGTCAGGATCCAGCCTGATCTGTTTTGAGTACGCTTCCCTGGCCAATACCAGGTGTTTGTCGTACGTGTACGATTATTTGCAGACTCGGTTTCAGAAACTTGATGAAGCCGACAAGATTGGAGTGAGTTGTGAGGCTTATGTGCTGGATTTTATTGAGAGGTACATTGTAGCGTTCAATGATGTGGATTACGTGTCGTATAAAGAGCTGCATACCGAGTCTGTGATAGAAGGACAGGATGCGTTTGAAGCTTATTGTAAGAGCACTCATGATATCATGGGGAAGATTGAGAATTATAGTTTTGTGGGTCGTAGGAAAATGCTGGAGACAAATCTGTCGCATCTTTCAATCTCCCGCTACGAGTTTGATATTAAATACGGGGCTAGAACCAGACGAGAATTCTTCATTATTGACGAGAACTGTTTGTTGAGAGGAACAATGAGTCTAGAAGAGGAAGCACTACAGTTCCACTCATCAATATACGATGTAATGATTACTTACAGAAGTACGGATAGTGGTTGGGCTGACCTCCTTCAAATGTACTTGGAGAACAACGAGGTAATATACTATTAGGAAGTTATACAATTGTTAATAACAAATTATTTGTTATGCATCAGTTGGGGTGCTTGTTCTTTATCCGTTATGCTGTTGTTGCACAAGTTTCTTTACTTCTTAAAGCTCATTATTTAAACATATCTACAATATTTTGTGAAATTTAACAACATTTCAGGTGCTGTGCTGGAGGGACCAGCGGATGGAAATCGGAGCTAACTGGAGTTCAGACATCACCTCCGCTATTCGACTAGCTAAATGCGAACTGTGCCTGCTCTCCGAAGAATACCTCAAATCAGAGATGTGCACCAAGGAGATCAGCTTAGCATTCGACTCAGGCAAACTGATAATACCACTAGTCCTGCCACACACAGACCAGAGCAAGCCACGCCCACTGGTAAAGTCCACCTACAAGCCCTCCTACCCTCCCCATCAGATAAGCCACGAAACCAGCCAGTCTACTTGGATTGACTTCCGGCCTGCTTCCTCTGACGTGGATCCGGAGAATGTAGGTCAGTTTGAGCTATTGTACCTGGACCCTCTGAAAGTGCTGCTAGATCGTCTCCAGCTCTCCAAGACCAGGTCTAATATCTGTGATATTAACGGTTCCTGGCTTGTTTCTATCACGGATACTGTTGGGAGGAAACTTAAGAGCAAAGTTGCGTTGGAGTATATCAGAAGAGTCCCAAGTGGAGTCCTCCAAGAGGAGTCCGGCAAACCGGTAGCACGGCTGAGTCCTCAGTCGATAGTTTGTGGAACTCGACTTCTACTGTACTTCGTTAATCCTAAGACTTACGACCTTGTTTTGGGCATCAAAGCTATGATGTCTGGCGATAACAGGTACATTAGTACATTGTACAAGGGATAACTTCACATCTTTTCAACAATCAACCAAAACTGTTGCTATGGTTACCGTAACAGTTTTGATCAGTTACCATTTGAATATATTTATACCTCATCATTGTCGACGAAAGAGCAGCTAGAAATTTGATATCCTGTGTTGACTTATAATTATTATATTACATCAGTTTGTCCACCACAACACATTACAAAATAAGTCATAACTATTTTAACTCATTTATACTGACGTAGGTCGAATGTAATATCACAATCGTTGACACAACATCGTACTACTTTTAACAGCTTGCATGCTAGTGGCCTTGCCACGCTGTACACACTATATATTATATATATTTCTATATATTATTCTTGTTTCAGATCGTTCTCAGGAGTTCTACTTGGAGCAGACTGTAGGTCCGTGGTGTACGCGCAGAAAGTCGAGGACAAATTCCGGTCAATTGAGCGAGGAGGTTTGGTTTCTGTTTTGTTAAAATACAATCTTAGTGAACATAAAATTTGAAATGAAAGATCGAGAAGTGTAGTAATACTTCTGGATCTATGCCATAATCGGATTGCCATACCTAAGGTTTGTCACAAATACTTGGTGTGTATGGCATAACCAAGTTTCCTCACTATTCAAGCCTTTACTATATGAATGAAGCTAACTACTCAACAGGTTTGGTGTACACAGCGGAGACAGCCTCACCAAACTACGATCTCCTCACCCGACTTCACCCCCAAATCAGCCGCACAGAACTAGACGAACTGTTCACTGCTTTCTGTAAGATAGACATTAGTCAGGACTACAGACTGTCCCCAGATGAGATCACGTCCTGTTTGAAGATGATAGGCAGGCCCATGTCTAAACGGCTGGTTTCTGAACAGATTAGGCGGTTTGATGTGAAACAATCGGGGGCGTTGGAGTTTGATGAGTTCGTGCACTTTTTAAGTAAGCAGTCCGGAGCTGGAGCTATTACAAGCAAACATGCCAGCAAAGTATGCTCTATCATGTAAACATGCCAGCAAAGTGTGCTCTATCATGTAAACATGCCAGCAAAGTGTGCTCTGTCATGTAAACATGCCAGCAAAGTGTGCTCTATCATGTAAACATGCCAGCAAAGTGTGCTCTATCATGTAAACATGCCAGCAAAGTGTGCTCTATCATGTAAACATGCCAGCAAAGTGTGCTCTATCATGTAAACTGTAAACGTTGTTGTTATCATGTAAACAATGACTTCTAATCATTGTTTGCATCAGATGCTTTTAAAACCTGTGAAGATGAGATAATTATCCAATCACGTTCAAGGAAGTATTTTACAGTAAAATATTTGATAATTCATAACTCTTCAAAGTTCATAACCCAGAAATTTTGGCACAACCTTCATCGCTTGGTTTGCTAAGGTTTGTTCGCTTATCATGTAAGCCACTTTACACAGCTATTTTCAATTTTGTAGAAATTGCACTAATGTAATTGTAAGATTTTCCAATGCCATCTGTCCCCCTATTTTGGCTTACATTATATGTGAACGATCCCTTATCAACTTAAAGACATTTTAACAGACGTATTTCATTCTTTTAAATTTATTCATGTATCAGAGTTTTTTAAATAGATTGGGAAATACATTTTGTAACCATGTACATAGTAAAATCTATATTGTATGTAAAATGTTTAAGTGGCTGTGAAATTTGATCTCTGTGACTTGTTTATGTTTTGTAGCACTTTCCAAATGAATGTGAACCGTTTTTAGGGATTCGGGTATAAAGAAGGGATCATGCAACTGTATAAAATTAGATTCAGGGATTTTTGTTCCGTCCAAATTAGATGAGAAATAGGAATTTGCATAGTTACAGCATGGTAACGTACATGTGCATACTGCATCAAATGATATTGAAGTGACATTATGATCTGTTTTGTTGTGAATAAGTTGTTTTTTATGTCACATTATTCGGTTGTTTCTTCTGTTCTGATGGATATTTATCTGTAAACACTGATTTTGCAATAATAATCACCACCTGGCCGAGAAACCTACTACTACCTACCTATTGAACCTATTGAACCTACTAACTAGGTTTACTTATTTATTTACTTACTAAGGAGCCAACTGCCAAGTTATTCATTAGATACAAATCAGAGTTAAATCACAAGCATATTTATTCCTCAGATTTTGTAAGTCACATCAGTAAAAGTCGCACATGACCCTACCTTTTATAACGCCATTGACTTAAACACGTAGCAAAAACAGCATCATTGGAACCATTCCAATGATGCCATGTATCGGGTATTCTTTAATCTGCTCCCACTTCGCACTTAATGCCGATAAATCTATTGGTATCAGAGGCCAATTATAGTGATAGCGATAGCTGATGATGCCATTGAGTAGATGTAGTGGCCATGTAGGAGATTGACCATATCTTTCACAAGTAACTATTGTTTTGGCTTTTGTTTTGTTCATCAAGTTGTTTCAACATCGTCAATGACCCGATATTGGCACGCGTTTCTGTACCTTATTCTGCAGGCGCGAAAACATCTTTATAGGTTAAATGGCGCGTTGCTACGGCAACCTTTCAGACACATGGTTACGTGCCACATACTTCCGGCAAAGAATGAAACTGCGAAAGCCCATAAATCATTATTTTAAAAACTGGTTAACCACAATCTTGCGTGTCAATTAAGGCGCAAGCACAGCTAATAAAAATGGAGTCATACTGACTGCTGTCGAACACAGATATCTTAACAATTTTAACTAAAGACCACGAGTAGCAGAATTTCAATGTTTAAACTAACAAATGAGGATAGTTTTTAGTTCATGTTTTCTAAGAGTGCAGTTGAAAATTGATCTCGTGATGGACTTTTAGTTCGGAAAATCTGTTTTGTTTTTCAAAGTCGAGCCACAAGAACAAATAATGCGCGCGATAAAATATCGCACACAGCGCTCATAGTATTAATTTAACAACAAAATTATAAATCGCGCGTTCCATAAAATCGAACCCGGATCCAAATACTGCATCCTTGAAAATGGTACAATTCTAACTACGTATTAGTCAAAACTTAATTTTCTACCGGTTTCTACTCAATACTACAGGACTTATGTTTAAACTTTTCTGTTCTTGTTTCTTAACGCCTCAAAACTATCTTAATTCCATCCTCACGAACAAACCTACCTACTGGAACACCTAACACAGTATTGAAACAATTGAAATTCAGTTATTTGTTATCGTACATTTGATTATACTGTTCATATTGTTTACAGTTCAAGATAGGAGTATAACATTGGGAAGAATCAACAGCTAGGGAGTGAATATAATTAAAACATTCGTGATAAATTCAGAATAGAGAATCGTCTGTCACCTTCGATCTACATCAAATCTTTACGTTCTGCGTTCAAGCTTTAAACCGACCAACTACATTCTTTTTGAGCGTTTTTTTGTTAAAGATACAAGAGTAAAACATTAAGTCTTTTATCTGGTACTGTAAACCCCATTCTGACGACCTTATGATCGTGAGTGCTTCAATCAACAAGTCCTATTGAAATCAATGATGTGGTTAAAAGTCTAAACGTCGTCTTTATTCGGTAACAGGGCACGAGGGACTTTGTGGGCAGTGACGAGGTTTAACATTAGTTCGAGTCGTATTAACAGGGATTTGTTCAACTGAACCTTCGACCATTTAGTTGGGAGTTCTGAAATATTTTAAATGATCATAATGGTTATAACATGATTATCCTATTATGTGGTCATTAGCCAATCAAATGGTCATCGGGAGAACAAACTAGAACTGTCGTTTGAACAGATCATAAGAACTAATCGTTGTCAGTTGAGTAATAACAAGTCTGATTCTAGGCTAATGATAAGAAAGCTAGGTCTCGTGTCGTTCAAATCACCTGGTTCGGGAATGGGTCTATTGAAATCTGGTGAAGCTTGCTGGCACGAGACTTCTGCTTCTCTGAAGTTAGAACACTACGTTATTAACTTTTAAATGACTAACTCAAAGCTTATTATCTATAAATAGGGTCATTTACAAATAGATAACCAAACGTTAATGTTACACTAAAGTTTCTATATATTTTCTAGAAACTTCTATTGTGAAGCGATCTAATTTGACTTGACAAACATCATTACCAAAGCCTAGAAAATAACACTATCGAGCATGGAAATTGGAAAGTTCTGGTCCTTTCTGTACAGACCTTCATATTTAGAAAGGTGAGGCAGGGTTAGTTGGGATCTGGAATCTTCCTTCTTGTACATTTTCTTGTTCCCGTAGAGACCTTTAACAGCAGGTTTGGCTCCTCTGCCACCGAAATCGAAACTGCGAGTATTCCTAGGTTTTTTGTTACATGTAGAGAAATGAGTCGTTCCTATGGCAACGCTAGATTCTAAAACATGAGATAAGACCTTACTAACTTCATATCAATACGTTAATCATGATTATCAAAAATGCTGTCCGCTGACCAAGCCATGTTCAATTTTCAAATTATGTGGTAACTATGACAGCTGAGTCGAGCGGTCCAGTAAACATTGACAAGATTGTGGTAAAAGATTGTGAGGTGCTGAAAAAGGCTAACTTAGTCGGTGGGACCGGTTCTTGTTTAGATTCCGGTGAAGTAAGAGGGTTCTCGTCGTTTGAGACGACGCTCGTCTTGCTCTTGGGAGCGGGAGGGAGTGTTAGTGCTGCGTCACCATCCTCACCTCCAGTGCGTGAAACCTGGATTATTTTCTATGTGTTATTAGCATAAAGGTGCTTTAAATAAACTTAACTTGTAAAGTCGTAAGCCTAGGGGATCTCATAGTCGCCTCTGGTTAGGAATTTTTAAACGCCCCTCTTGTACATTACAAGGTGGATATCAGTCGACAACTCATTACATCTTAGCTGAACTATCGAACTTCCCATCTCCCAATGCTGTTGAGGGCCTTAGTTACACCAGAAAACTGATATACTTTTATCTAACCACCTCTGACCCCTTTCTCCCAAACATGTATTCCCGAGTGTTCGTTTACCTGGTATATATTTTCACAGTTCTCAGAGCGTTTGAGAGACGGTATGGCAGGCTCAGCACCGTAAGATTTTGACTGTTTTACCACAACTGATTTGTTAGGCGGATTGTTGTGTCTGCTGTCATCTTGTGATTTCCTTTTTTCTCGCATCGCCGCTGTATCCTGCGGGATTGAGTTAATTTATTTTTGAGAGAATTCAAAGATATTTCATAGAATAGAGATATGACAATTTGCCATTGACGCGAATGAAGAAGAAAAGATAAAACTACAAAGAAGTGCTGTACGACTGTTAAAGTTGATCTCGGACGATGAAGTGTCATTCACAAAACACAAAAAGTAAGATGCATGATCCATCCCAGACGCTCTTTTCTCTTATCTATTGTTGTGACCGACAATGGAGCGAAACTCCAGGAGAAAACACTACGGATATTTGTAGTGCTTGCGTGTATATCAGAGGTGGGGACAGAATAATGTGGCGTTCAGAAACAGAGAGAGAGAGATAGAGAAAGAGAGAGAGAGAGAGAGAAAGAGAGAGAGAGAGAGAGAGAGAGAGAGAGAGAGAGAGAGAGAGAGAATCATGTTAAAATACAAGTACATGCTTGTCAGTCCGACAATTTCAAGACAAGCACAGAACGCATTATATAGCTCCATCATACGCAGCGGTCCAGGGAAATGTGGTATCGAGCTCTTATCTCTGGCGAGGTCACTTGTGTTCTACCAAATACCCATTCAATTGCATTAAGGGAATTGTATTTAGTACACTGTACATACATCAAGCTAAAGTGAATCCTGTAGATGTAATGAATCAATCTTAACTCTGAGATTGTCTAAATAAACCAAGCCTAGTATGCGCCTAAGCTGATTGCTTTGTTCAGAACAGGTTCAGGATTATAATGAGTTCGTCATGGGTAGAGAATGAAAACCTACTGCTGTGATGTCTGTCTCACATAAAACCTATTCACAGTCAACACAGTCACAAAACTTGGGACAAAACAGGAGACAGATATTCTGTAATCAAGTTATTTTTAACTGGCAAACACAAAAAGATGACATGCGTGTTATAGCTAGACAAAGAAAGAGATAATAATAGATAATGAGATAATCAAAGACAGTGAGATGATTACAGATAATAAGATGAATGCTAATCAGGCATCACTCCAACTCAACACCAATGATTGAAGAATAAAGGGAAGATCAGAGGGAAGAAGTCCTAAATCAAAGGGACCTGAAACGTATTTTCAGACAATCCATACCTCCGAGTGTGAGTACGAAAAGGAACGACCGAATGCATGACTGGTTTTACTTTGCTTGGCAACATTGTGATCCTGAAATACTTGACATATTTAACACTAAAAAACATTTACATTTTACAACGCGCACACATTCATGATATTTGTAAGATCTGCTACGGTCTGCACATTATTACACACCTAACAGACTGTATGCGAGTACACTGTAATTTGGAACACCTTGGAGGAATATACAGCTAACACGTCATCTCATTTAAAACACTAAATGTGTACTGGTCACGTGTAATAAAGACCAGATCACGTGTGAGCACTGATCACAGTTTTTTAAAAGCCGTGCTTTACTCCCTTGACAACGTCAAATGGAGGGTGACGCTGCTTACAAGCGGACAAACATTGACAAAACACTGATTGCTGAATGCCTGTCTTCAGAGAAGGCCTCACTTTGCTGTGATCACGTGCCACTTATTTCAATTACCTTGGCTACCTTGGACTTTTTGGAGAATACAGCATTGCCCCCAAATTCCTTGTGTATTTTGGTCCTGAGCTCCAGTATGAAGCGGTGTCCGAAGTTGTCGTGGTTGAAGTAGGAGTGTGAGAGAAGTTGGGTACATGTTGGGCGGTCGTCTGCGTCCAGCATCAAACAATCCTGTTAAAATGTTTTGAGTTAAATGTTAGTTTTTAATGGACAGTTCCTAATAAGCAAGCGAGAAGGACTCCTAGGACGATATTTTGGATCAAAATCATCTGTATCACTGGGCCAGTTGGGGACCGAATCTTTAACAAGGATAATCAGTCTGCTAGAAATAGCACACCCAGCCACTGAGACCTAACTAACCACACCTACTGGAACCTGATAAGTTACGTTTGCTCATGTGTGATGGAGATAAATGGACAGAAGCGCTGTCACGAAACTCGTTCCAGACTTCATTTGGATCGACCTAGGCATGTAGTTCCTACTACCTAAGCAGGTAGGCAGGCAATTAATGCCTTATTAGCCTCACCTTTACTATACCAATTGAGTGGGAAGACAGTCCAGGAAGTCTCTTTTCGAGTGGGTCGACATGGTTCACTTCCGGCAACTTCATGCCCACAAATATTGGGTTCTTCATAAATATATCCTTATATCTTTGGCTCAGATTACCTGTTAAGAGAATGTTAAAATCTTGTGATTAATAAATTTGGACGTTGGGCATTAAGTTGTCATAATGCACTGGATCCTCCTACGCGATTGCGGAATAATTACACAAATCGTAACGAATAATTCAAAAACGTGGTTACTAAACGAAGATGACGTCACTTTACACTTTAGACTGACCCAGCCATGAGGTTATGTGATATAACTGATCAATATCCGAGTCACCAGGAAAGAGGGGGTTCCCTGTCAACATCTCAACAATCAGACAGCCTATAGCCCACAGGTCAACCGCTCTGAGGTGGGTTAGAGGTTTAGAGTTAGAAATTAGAGTCTAACGTCAGATATTAGACTTTAAGAGTAGAGATCACTCTTGTGAATCAGACCAGAGTGAAAAGGTTAGAGATATTTTCAGTTTAGATACAGCTACCCTTCCCCACGCCATAGCTGATAATCATTTTGGAAATATCATAGTAATAGAGCTATAACTTTTTATCAGTACTACTAAAGTCTCCCAGAGCACTGAGTAGACATTGCTAAGTCCGAGTAAATCTGAGCTTTTTATTTGCTATTGCTGGGATTAGAATCAGCAAGTCACATCTCCCTTGCCCCCTGGCCTGGTGTCCTCCATTCTTATCATATCAAGTTTCGTTCCATTACTTCTAAAACACATACTTTTCCAGACATAAACTAAATAATCGGATCTACTCTTAATTAAATCTCTTGAATCAAGACTTCTCAACTTGTCCACGCCTACATCAGTATCTGAAGTTAATAATAAAATCAATAACCTGGGTTCAGTCATTAAACAGCAAGCTCCAAGTCCAATAAGTCAGGACTAACCTAATAACGTTACTTAGCATTGGAAACCATGACGATGTAACTTGATATTTACGAGCACACAATAAATATTATGCTTACACATAACCCCATATTATATGATCATTACGGATTTTGTAAATTATAATTGTTGAGAATTCTTCGGTGCCCATTAGTTTCCGGCAGTATCGAGATAGCCCGACCACTGGTCCGCGGACCACTGTCCGCGGACCACTGTATAATAACAGTATCCCCTGAATCAAGCAGGGTTCACATCATCCCCTGAATCAAGCAGGGTTCACATCATCTTCTGCGTTTTCTGCAACAAGAGGCATGCTGGTATATCATGCGCTGCTCATGACCCTGTAGCATCTTCTGATGCCGGAGGTCTTGCTAACTCCTCTGCTCATGCTCCTCGTGTCCGCTCCAAATGTAACAAATTGCATCCAAGATACCATACATACCATTCATATGATCTGGTAACCAATCAACTATTCACAAACACCTGTTGCTTGATTCAGGGGATACTGTTATTATACAGTAATATGATCTGGTAGACAGTGGTCCGCGGACCAGTGGTCGGGCTATCTCGATACTGCCTAGTTTCCCACAACTGACTGCAAGGATGAGTGGAATTACTGGGAAATTAAATCTAATAATATGTGCTCTAACAAAGTTATTGCTACCCCAAATGTGCTCCCCACCCCCTGATCTCTACCCCAAATGTGCTCCCCACCCCCTGATCTCTACTCCAAATGGGCTCCCCACCCCCTGATCTCTACTCCAAATGTGCTCCCCACCCCCTGATCTCTACCCCAAATGGGCTCCCCACCCCCTGATCTCTACCCCAAATGTGCTCCCCACCCCCTGATCTCTACCCCAAATGTGCTCCCCACCCCCTGATCTCTACTCCAAATGGGCTCCCCACCCCCTGATCTCTACTCCAAATGTGCTCCCCACCCCCTGATCTCTACCCCAAATGGGCTCCCCACCCCCTGATCTCTACCCCAAATGTGCTCCCCACCCCCTGATCTCTACTCCAAATGGGCTCCCCACCCCCTGATCTCTACCCCAAATGTGCTCCCCACCCCCTGATCTCTACCCCAAATGTGCTCCCCTCCCCCTGATCTCTACCCCAAATGGGCTCCCCACCCCCTGATCTCTACCCCAAATGGGCTCCTCACCCCCTGATCTCTACTCCAAATGTGCTCCCCACCCCTGATCTCTACCCCAAATGTGCTACCCACCCCCTGATCTCTACTCCAAATGGGCTCCCCACCCCCTGATCTCTACTCCAAATGTGCTCCCCACCCCCTGATCTCTACCCCAAATGGGCTCCCCACCCCCTGATCTCTACCCCAAATGTGCTCCCCACCCCCTGATCTCTACTCCAAATGGGCTCCCCACCCCCTGATCTCTACCCCAAATGTGCTCCCCACCCCCTGATCTCTACCCCAAATGTGCTCCCCTCCCCCTGATCTCTACCCCAAATGGGCTCCCCACCCCCTGATCTCTACCCCAAATGGGCTCCTCACCCCCTGATCTCTACTCCAAATGTGCTCCCCACCCCCTGATCTCTACCCCAAATGTGCTCCCCACCCCCTGATCTCTACCCCAAAAGTGCTCCCCACCCCCTGATCTCTACCCCAAATGTGCTCCCCACCCCCTGATCTCTTCCCCGAATGTGCTCCCCACCCTTGATCTCTACTCCAAATGTGCCCCCCACCCCCTGATGTCTACTCTAAATGTGCTCCCCTCCCCCTGATCTCTACTCTAATGTGCTCCCCACCCCTGATATCTTCCCCAAATGGGGCTCCCCAACCCCCTGATCTATACTCCAAATGTGCTCCCCAACCCCTGATCTCTACCCCAAATGGGCTCCCCACCCCTGATCTCTACCCCAAATGGGCTCCCCACCCCCTGATCTCTACTCCAAATGTGCTCCCCACCCCCTGATCTCTACCCCAAATGGGCTCCCCACCCCCTGATCTCTACCCCAAATGTGCTCCCCATCCCCTGATCTCTACTCCAAATGTGCTCCCCACCCCCTGATCTCTACTCCAAATGGGCTCCCCACCCCCTGATCTCTACTCCAAATGGGCTCCCCACCCCCCTGATCTCTACTCCAAATGTGCTCCCCACCCCCCTGATCTCTACCCCAAATGGCTCCCCACCCCTGATCTCTACTCCAAATGTGCTCCCTCCCCCTGATCTCTACTCCAAATGGGCTCCCCACCCCCTGATCTCTACTCCAAATGGGCTCGCCCCCACTCCATGTGCTCCTGATCTCGACCCCAAATGGGGCTCCCCACCCCCTGATCTCTACCCCAAACGTTGCTCCACCCCCTGATCTCTACCCAAATGGGCTCCCCACCCCCTGATCTCTTCCCCGAATGGGTGCCCCACTCCCTGATCTCTACCGCCAAATGTGCTCCCTCCCCCATGATCTCTACTCTAAATGGGCTCCCCCTCCCCTGAGCTCTACTCTAAATGTGGACTCCCCTCCCTGATAGCTCTATGGCTCACGCCTGTTCTGAGATCGTCCAAATGTGGGCTCCCCAACCCCTGAGTCTCTACCCCAAATGGGCTCCCCACTCCCTGATCTCTACTCAAACTGGGCTCCCACCCCCTGATCTCTACTCCAAATGTTGCTCCCCACCCCCTGATCTCTACCCCAAATGGGCTCCCCACCCCCTGATCTCTACCCCAAATGTGCTCCCCACCCCCTGATCTCTACTCCAAATGGGCTCCCCCACCCCCTGATCTCTACCCCAAATGTTGCTCCCCACCCCCTTGATCTCTACCCCAAATGTGCTCCCCTCCCCCTGATCTCTACCCCAAATGGGGCTCCCTCCCCACCCCCTGATCTCTACCCCAAATGGGCTCCTCACCACCCCCTGATCTCTACTCCAAATGTGCTCCCCCCACCCCCTGATCTCTACCCCCAAATGTGCTCCCCACCCCCTGATCTCTACCCCAAAAGTGCTCCCCACCCCCTGATCTCTACCCCCAAATGTGCTCCCCACCCCCTGATCTCTTCCCCGAATGTGTTCCCCACCCCCCTGATCTCTACTCCAAATGTGCCCCCCACCCCCCTGATGTCCTACTCTAAATGTGCTCCCCCTCCCCCTGATCTCTACTCCAAATGTGCTCCCCACCCCCTGATCTCTACCCAAATGTGCTCCCCCACCCCCTGATCCTCTACCCCAAATGTGCTCCCCACCCCTGATCTCTACCCCAAATGGGCTCCCCACCCCCTGATCTCTACTCCAAATGGGCCTCCCACCCCCTGATCTCTACTCCAAATGTGCTCCCCACCCCCCTGATCTCTACCCCAAATGTGCTCCCCACCCCCTGATCTCTACCCCAAATGTGCTCCCCACCCCCTGATCTCTACCTCCAAATGGGCTCCCCACCCCCCTGATCTCTACCCCAAATGTGCTCCCCACCCCCTGATCTCTACCCCAAATGTGCTCCCCCTCCCCCTGATCTCTACCCCAAATGGGCTCCCCTCCCCCTGATCTCTACCCAAATGGGCTCCTCCACCCCCTGATCTCTACTCCAAAGTGCTCCCCACCCCCTGATCTCTACCCAAATGTGCTCCCCACCCCCTGATCTCTACCCCAAATGGGCCTCCCCACCCCCTGATCTTCTACCCCAAATGGGTCCCCCACCCCCTGATCTCTACCCAAATGTGCTCCCCACCCCCTGATCTCTACTCCAAATGCTCCCCACCCCTGATCTCTACCCCCAAATGTCGTGCTCTCCCCAAGGCTCCTCCCATGATCTCTAAGGGCTCCCACTGACTCTAGCAAATGGGCTCCCTCACCCCTGGATCTCTACTCCAAATGTGCTCCAACCCCTGATCTCTACCCCAAATGTTGCTCCCCACCCCCTGATCTTACCCCAAATGTGCTCCCCACCCCCTGATCTCTACCCCAAATTGTGCTCCCCACCCCCTGATCTCTACCCCGAATGTGCTCCCCACCCCCTGATCTCTACCCAATGAGCTCCCCACAACCCTGATGCTCTACCCTCTACAATGTGCCTACCCATCCCCCTGATCTCTACTCCTAAATGTGCTCCCCTACCCCCCTTGATCTCTACCCCCAAATGAGAGCCTCCTCCACCCTCTGATCTCTACTACCAAATCGTGCCTCCCCACTCCACCCTGATCCTCTACCCCTAATTGTGCTCCCCACCCTCTGATCTCTACCCACAAGTCGCTCCCCCACCCTCTTGCCTTTCCTACCCCAAATGTGCCCTCCCTACCCCTGATCTCTTTCTCCGTAATGTGCCACTCCCACACCCCCATTCGATCTCTTACTCCAATGTGCCCCCCTACCCCCTGATGTCTACTCTAAATAGTGCTCCCCCTCCCCCTTGATCTCTAGCTCTAAATGCTGCCTATCCCCTAACCCCCTGAATATCTGTCTCCCAAGATGCGCTCCCAAGCCCCCTGACCCCCCCTCTATAC